GGTGGACTTGGAGCAGGAAATGGTGCCGGTGGACATGGAGCAGGAGCTGGTGCAGGAAGTGGAAGCACGTTGCAGACGAATGACGAGCAAGGCGACCGTATGAGCTGGTTCAAGGGTTTGGTTCCAAGTGTGGTTTGTTTGTTTTTTGTTCTTGTTGTCTGGGTAGGGGTTGTGAGGTTGTGGTCGTGTGCTTGTTGCTGTCAAGTTGCTGCTGCTGCTTTTGAGACCTCAAGATCCCACAGAAGGAATTATATATTTGCAATTCCAAAAGAATCTGTCATCATCACTTGCTACTTGGAATGCTTTGGAATTACAGTACGGCAAAAGGATTTTATAATGCTTTGTTTGTGAACAACAATAGAACGTCAGTCAGAAGATGTGCACCACCCAGCATGCAGATCAGCCGCATGCTTGATTTGAAGATGTCAGAAACGCTTCTCAATCCAAATCTTCAGCACCACGCCATTGCTGTCCAAGTGTTTAATGAAATCACATGCTTCTGCAGGTGTTTCACCTGTTTCGCATGGTGATGGATCTTTTTCAATGATGGCATCAGACTTGCCGGTGTCAAGAACAGTGAGGGTTCAAACCGGTGCAAATCGAAGGTCGAACGTTCAATCTGCACTTGGTTCAAATGGGTACATCAACTCCTCTGGTTCTCCGCTGCTCTCGGACCTGGGTGCAGACCGACCCCAACACCAACCGCTGCAGACCGACCCCAACACCTCTCCGCGGTCGACCGGTCGACCGCGGAAGAGACAGGCGGATCCGGCGAACTGTGGACGCAACCGCTTCCGGCTCCTGGGCGGGACCAGCCATGGCTGACGGGGCCAGGTGGGAGGGGCTTTTCTGATAGAAAAAGCCTCGTTTTGTGTTTTTGGAGGGGGCCCAAGCTTTTGATTCGTTGGAATGGAATCCCAACACCTCTGGAGGCTTGATACAAAGCACTCTGAGCAACTACCCGTATTCAGACTGGGATGCCCAAGCCCTGCAAGGGCCTTGCATGCGAGGAGATACCAGAAGCTCCTATCCATCACTAGGCCCAGTACTAGGGCCCTAGGGATCTAGTCGTATACCTTCTCCCTAGGCTTCCAAGCACCATTAATTTAATAGCCTTTACTAAGCAGCAATTGTTTTACTAAAGGATTTTGCACTACAACACCAGGTGAACGATTTGTTGAGTCCTCGAAGCCCCAGGGTTGATGAGGTGATGCCTTCTGTGTTCGACACTGGATTCCGGTGCCGGGGTCGGTACCTTCCTGGATTCCGCTGGATTCCGCTCCATCAAACTTGGCGCACAGAAAACAGCAGACGGTTCGACTTCGCCAGGTATGACCCAAACTCTGACTCCCATGCCATGAACCTTCCAGCTGCCTGGAACCGGCAGCTTCTTTGGGACTCTCCCCACCGGGCAGGGGGGTAATTAACTTCGTCCTGGCATGAATGCTGGGAAGGACTGGTTCTTAAGATGGGAAGGCGAGTGGTGGTTTCCTTCCCTGGGTTGCCCCTCCCGACCAGAAACAGTTCTGGTCAACATGGCTGTCGAAAGAGATCCGCTAAGTGCTTGGTGTGGGAGTTTCATCCATTTCCTCTTTCTGCAGCAGGGCTTCCCTCGCAGCCCTCCCATCCAAGGATCAATTTGCTCATGTCTTGGAGCCATTCGAGTTTGAAGTGGGCACGCCCATCGTCCGCTCTCCAGAGATGGAGGGAGCACCTCTGGTCGCCCAGTTGATTCCGGACCAGTTGATGGAGGCAGATGTCTATTTTTTGGAGACGCGCAGCGTTGGCCAAAGCCGGGTGTAGGAGACTTGCTGTCCGCACGCACGGATAGGGTCCAGGTGTCCGTGAATACCTGGAGCGACACCAGGACGAGATGGGTGTGAAACATGGAGATCTCCACGTGCACTGGATCTTATTATGCAGAATTACTGCCTTTTCATCCAGAACACTAGCCAAGTTCGGCAGACATTCTGCGTGTCGTTGGAAGATCCAGGTCTATAGTGTATACATGTGACATATATAATATATATAAGATATACCCTGGACCGGAAGTCAAGTCGACCAATTTTGAAATGGTTGATCTGGTTTTGTAGTGTAAAACCCTTAGTAAAACAGCTCGGTGGTTCGGGATTCAGGCTATTAAAACAATGGTGGGCCACGACTTCCAGGGTATATACTTGCTGTATCTGCGGTATTCCAGCCACCGTGGACCGTGAGGTCCCCCGTCCGGGAGTTTTCGGGGACCGCGTGTTCGGAGCCGAGACCAACCGAGAGAAGAGTGGAGAATGGACCAACCGAGAAGGTTTGGCGCCTTCTTTCATCCAAGACGACCTTTTTGGTAACTGGTCCTTCGTGGGAAACAGACTTGGCATGAGCTGAATTATGCGATCCCTAAGAATCCGGACCCGGTTCCCAACACATAGGGGTTTGGGAACCGGGCCCGGACCCCGGACTGTTTCGAGGTCGGGTTACTCTCCCCCTGCCATGGAGAGCCCGGACTCGGATTCGGGATATAGCTATCACCACCCAACTCGTCGCGCCGGTTTTGGGACGGGCGACGGTCCCGACCGCCATGCTGGGTGTCCGACTCTTCGTGCCAGTTGTACCTTTGGGCTGCATCTGTCTTTTACAGCCTCCCTTTGGGCTGTGAGAATCGGTTTTGGGTCTTCCGTTTTGGGTCTTCCATCCCGGGAGGTGCTCCTTTTCGATGAACATCGTAGTTTTCAAGTGATTTTCAGTTACCTACGACTCGGTGTGCCTGGCGACCAGTACCCGTCAAGATTCAGTGCTCAGATCCGTTTCGACCATTTCGACCGGACCTTCCCCAACCGAGTGACCGAGTGACCGAGTGAACCGAAGCACCAAGCACCGACTTCCGTCAAATTCCATCAACTCCCTGAAGCCCATACTACCGTAGAACATACTAGGACCCACAAGGGGTGGTTAATGGACACCCCTTAACCTCTAAGGGGCTATCAATAGACACCCCTTAGGGTGTCCTGGTATAGGAACCTTTGTTAGCACCGGTGGAGGGAGAGAGAGAGAGACGCTGCAGGCGTCTAGATGCTCAAAGCAGGCGTCAACACGCCCCAAGAAAAATGAGAATCTTTGAGTATGAAAGGGTTATATAAAACATGTAGCCATTTGACCTTCAAAAGGTAACTTTCAAAAAATCTTGGCTCTAAGAGACTAAGAGTTGACGGTTTGTATGATGTGCCGCCATGAGAGCCAGAGCTGCTGCCATTACAGTTGCTTGTGGGAGTGCCCTTGCCTTTCTGGGTTGGGTCAGCACGGCCGCTGCAAATGGCCACTCCCTGGAAGTTTTACCAGATCCATGCACATCGTCCAAATTCCCACCGACCGCACCGGCCGAACCCCCCTCTCCAAGCGAGGACACGTGTCGTCTCACCCGCGAGTGGAACGAGTCCTACCAACCTCCTCCGACCCCAAGCCATGGTGTTCGGAAGCTGCTGTTGCATGTCGGTTCGTGGAAGACGGGCTCTTCGTCCATGCAGTCGGCCTGGCTGTTCAATAAACAAGAGTTGAGAGCTCGTGGCATCGGCTTCCCGCGCTCCGGGAAGTGGTGGAAGCTCGTACATTGTGGCCTGACATTGGCGGGTCAAGATTCCAAAGCAATGAAAACACCATACAAGGCACAGTTCAATGAAACTTTTGAGGTGCTCAAATTCTTGCAGACTTTTGAAGGCAATGTGATTTTGACATGTGAAGGCTTTTCGAATCTTCAATCATTTCGACTGAGATTATTAAGAGATTTGGTGTCTGACTTTGATGTCACCGTGGTTTACACCTACCGGAATGCATTGTCAAAGATGTTTTCTCAATTCCGCTTCAACAGCATGAAAGGAGTCATTCTAGAGAGTGCTTCAGACTATTTCTGGCATGGACCGTGGGATGAAACAGAGGCAATTGCAAACCTTGTTACTGTCTTTGGGCGCGAGCGAGTGCGCATTCTGGATTATGACGGTGTTCTGTTTGCCGGCGAGAGCCTGGCGAATGTGGCGCTTCGAGCGGCATTCGGACCTGCTTTAGACTTGAGCCTTTCACGCCAGAACCTCATCAACCCGTCTCAGCCACCCACGTACTATTACATTAAATCTTTGCTCACATACTTTTCGATCTACGTTCGGGGCAAGTACGGCTGCAAGGTGGCTCTTGAGGACTGGACGAACTACAGTGAACTTTACCTGGCAGACTTCGCAGATCAAATCCCTGTAAAATCCTCAGGACCCAAGCCTTTGTTTGCGCAAGGAGCTTTGGTCTACGATTCCTGGGTCAGAACGCAATATTGCGACATCATGTGGTTCGGTGGGATGGGGCGCTTGCCGCTGCTCAAAGAAATTGAGTCCACCTTGCCACTGTATGTACTTGATGTCAAGCGTTTTCATGCCCAGTTTGATTTGTGGGCGCAACGCTTCGACGAGCAATACTTGAAGCGTGGACAAGCTGGCCAATTCGAGTGTGTCCTTTCGAGGGTGTGACGCCATGGCGGAGTTTGGCAGCCAGAAATGCGGAGTTAGGCACCCTGCAGGTAGAACACTTTCAAGGCACATGATTCATCACATGATGCTTTGCCGCTTTCCTCTCAAAAAGCTGCATGTCGGGGCGATTTATAGCGACGCCTTCTTCAGGGTCCCGGTCCAAGTGAAGAAGGGGAGACGACGTGCGCACGATGGTGGGGTTCTTTTCAGGAAAGGAGCCGAGGTCTTGGTTGAC